TCTGTTTTTGTGATTCTGGTATAGAATCTTGCATTTTTGACCTGGTTACACTCGAAACTGGGTTGAGTGACCTTCTGTAATGTCTTAGCCCTATCTCTTAGCTTCGAAAAGGTGGGTCTTTCACCTTCATCCGATAATCGTAGTGCCTTTGGCACCATTACCGCAAAATGAGGACAAAAACTGTTTTTTTCAGGGCTAAAGCTAAATCATTTCCGGATTTTTCTGGTTTCCTCTATTGTTTGTGTATGCTTAGGGAACCCTGTTTTGGTAGTATGTAGAATTGGTTTATGACTTGTAATCGAGTCTTATTGTGTTTATTTGAATAGTTTAGGGCTTGACTTTCATATCCGGTCATTTCCTAACTAAATTTTGTACTTGAATGCCATTAAGCCTAGTGAATGGCTTTTGGGAATGAGATTATTTTTGTACGAGATGTTGGGACTGATTTGAGGAAATAATGAAGCTAAGATGGCTGGAAATTAGGTAAACACAAGGGATATGCTGCCGAAATTTTACTTGAAGGCTAGTTGGATTTACTTGTGATTTGAGCGAAGGACTTTTGGGTTGTTTGAGCCTAGGTCTTCATTTTACCTTTTCGTTTCCAAAAATTCATGTTTTGCACCCTTGCTTTAATCATTATTTGGCGAGGCATACGACTGGTAGTCGAGCCTCACATGTGCATTCTGTATACTCGATTTTGAAAGTGGAACCTTCAATTGTTTTCTTTGGATTATCTTAGGGTTTCTTGGTGATTAAATCTCTCTTTTGGGGAGGTATCTGTACTGACCCCGGTGAATGTTCCACTACCTGCTACCTGTTATGTGAAATATCTGAATATCTGAATACTTGATTTATGACTGTTGGAGCCAAATACTGTTTTGATAAAAGGGAGGCGAGGGTGTGCTTTATCACACTCGTTCTCTGGTCAGTTTATATGCCAATTTTGAACGTGTATCTGAATCTGCTATCTGTATTTGTATCTGGATCTGTATCTGTTCTGACGTCGTTTGGAAGCTTGTGTCCAACGACCTTTCTGTGACCTCTGAGCTCAACACCTGTGGCCAGTTACTCGAGTCGGGCTGGCAAGGGCCTGGTCGATTAGATAACGAACCACGGTAGTCTGTTTTGGGATCTTTGGGTATTGAGACCCTTGATTCCGGGTATACTCGAGTATTACCATTTCTGATCTGATTGGATTTCGGGCCCGGTGGGGTATGTGAGGTGGAAGGAATCGAAGAAAGTGGAGTCTACGGTATTGGTTACTCCTTTAGCGTTGACGGAGTGTCAACTATTATTTCGATCAAGCTTCGATGATGCTAATGGGAATTTGGCTCCTGAGAGCTACCTGTATCCTTCTGATTTGAATCATTGGTTCATTTACTTTACATCTGGCATGTGTACCTGATTTGTTAAAAGTGAAATGCCATGATTTTACTGCTATATGTCTGGTACCTCATTGAGCGTAAGCTCACCCCTTTCTGTTCCTTTTTGTTTTCCTTACAGGAAAATAAATACTTTTGGACTGGATTTGACAATTGGCTGCCAAATTGAGCTAGTTGAACATATCTTTTGTATAGCTCATGTATTGAAACCCTAAATGTACTTTTGGGACCGTTTCCCTTTTGACTTGGCAAACCAGACATGTATCCACTTTTGAATGCTTTTGTATGCCACTTTGGCTTGTAAATGCTAAGTTTCAAGATGTGAATGTTTGTTTGATATTTGGTTGGGTTCTGACGGGTCGGTTACTATTCATGGCCGACTCCGGATTTCATTTTTTTTATTTTGGGTTATTTTGCCATTTTGACTTGTTTACCCGCGTTGATAAGTTTCGGAATGTATTAGCTCGTTCTATACCGAACCGTTAGTCCTGGCGAGAGCTGGGCAGGCAGTCCGCTAACCCCTTTGGTTCGCCTTAGGGGGAGGTGGGGCTGTCACAGGTGGTATCAGAGCCACTTCGCGTGGTCTCTGCGTGGAGTGAGATTGGGGCCAAGTGGTGTTATGGTCCTGCTTTTGTGAATACGTCGAAAGGTATAAGTGCTCTTTTGAGCGTAAGCTATGAACTGTGCATGTTATAAGAGTAAGGATCATTATCTTGGGACTTGAGGAAGCTAGGTATGTATGTCGGGTAGGAATCTTTAATATGGATGATTTACGCTTGGGACCGGCCGGCTCGAGTTATGAATTATCTTATTTGGGATTCTCGTGCCCGGCTACTAACTCAATGAGAGCCTAGGTTAGAAAGGACTTAGGCGAACTAGAAAGGCGATTCTATGGAACTCTATGTGGTTTGTTCGGGGGTGGTTAAGCGTGATCCACCTTGATTAAGATATAGATGGTGTTGTTGTCGTAGAGTATGGATGGAGCCCTAGAGGGGGAAAAGCTCTTCGTGAGTTAATTTGCACTCGTGACCTAGTCTGTTTATAGTACTTTCGAATGATTCCGCTACTTTCATGGATCTCTCACATTTGTCTTTAATTGACTGCTACTGTGTGACTGGTTTGGTCCAGTTGTGTGTATATATGTTTTTGATATGTGTGTACCTCATGCTTATAATTATCTTTACTATTATCTTTGCACCCCTAGATTGACTAAGATTAATGGAAGGCACACATAGTGGACGGGGGCGTGGGCGCGGGAATAGGCAACCTACGCCTGAAAGGGGCACTGGGAAAACCTCCTCTGGACCTAATCCTGAACCGAGAGTTGACCCCAACGTGCAGATAGCTGCCGCTATGCAGCAAATGACCAATCTGCTGGCACAAGTGGTGCAGCAACAAGGCCGAAACCCAAACCCTAATCCTGGAAACCCGGGCAACCATGTCGAAAGTGACGATAGGGCACTTGAGAGGTTCCAGAAGTTCGCACCACCGAAATTTATTGGGGAACCCGATCCGGATGTCGCCGAAAGGTGGCTCGAGAAAATAGTAGACATTTTCGCTGCCCTGCACTACACCGAAGAACGGCAGGTGACTTTCGCCATTTTCCAGTTGGAAGGGGCGGCCCGTTCCTGGTGGAACACATACGGCAAAAATGGGAACGGGAACAGACGCCCAGGACTTGGGTGAATTTTATGCGGGAGTTCAACGCGAAATTCTTCCCTCCTCTAGTCCAGGAGCGGAAGGAAGATGAGTTTATCCGACTTCGCCAAGGGGCCCAGTCTGTCACGGAATACGAGAGCCAGTTCACCCGCCTATCCAAATTTGCCCCTGAACTGATCATGACCGAGCAGCGGCGAATAAGGCGTTTTATCCAGGGTTTGAACGTAGAAATTCAGAAGGACCTCGCGGTGGCCCAGATTAATGCTTTTAGCGAGGCCGTAGAGAAGGCGCAACGAGTAGAAAATGCTAGGCTGCAGGTGAAAAACTTCCAAGCCAAGAAAAGGGGCTTTCCTGGGAGTAGCTCTGAGCAAGAAGGTACAAGTACGCCCCCTAAGATGGGAAAGGGAAACGGAGGAGTACGACAACCAGGGGTGTCGCGTGATGTCCCTCAGGGAGGACCGGTCTCTGTTACTCGTGGTCCCTGTGGATATTGCGGAGGGCCAAATCATACGGAGGCAAATTGTTGGAAGAAAGAGGGAAAATGTCTGCGCTGCGGAAGTGCCGATCATCGGATTGCTGACTGTCCAATTCGATTGCGAAAAGGAAAAGGGACCCCGCAACCAACTAAGACTAACCCTGGACAGTCGGAAAAGGAAGGGACTGGATCCAAGGTACCGGCTCAAGTGTATTCTTTAGAACACCATCAGGATCCTGACTCGTCTGAGGATGGAGAAGGTATGGTCCGTTGGGTACCTTAGATTTGATAGATTCCGTTGATAAGAAAATTTCGAGGGCGAAATTTCTTTAAGGGGGAGAGAGTGTGAGAACCCGTAACTTTTCCATTTTCTAGGTTTTATTATCTTTCTATGTTTTCTTATCTTCAATGGTTTGTTTTCTGCACTATCTGTATCCGAAAAATTTTCTAGATAATTTTATGAGTAAATATAGTTTTTAGATGATTTTTCTAGTATCAAATAGGTTTTGAGAAATTAAGAGCGTATACTGGACTGGTGATCTCTTAGGGTTTATAAAACTAACTTCAAATGCTACTCATGCCCCTCACGGGTTTTTGAATAGACCAAAATGTCATCAATAAACACTACAACAAATCGGTCCAGGTAGGGTTTTAAAACCCGATGCATCAAATCCATAAAGGCGACAAGGGCATTGGTCAACCCAAAGGGCATGACCGCTAACTCATAATGCCCATATCTAGAATTAAAGGCAGTCTTTGGTACATCTTCCTTCTTAATTAGCAACTGATAATACCTCTGTCGAAGATCTAACTTTGAAAAGACCATTGCACCTTGCAACTGGTCAAACAGTTCATCGATATGGGGTAGTGGGTATTTACCCGATAGTCGATACACAATCTCAAAGGTCCATCCTTCTTCTTAACAAATAGCACAGGTGCTCCCCAAGGAGATCCACTCTCACGAATAAACCCACGCTCCAACAGATCCTGCAACTGCAATTTTAACTCCTTGAGTTCAGCAGGTGCCATTCGATAGGGGCTCTTAGAGATAGGTGACGTCCCCGGTAATAGGTCAATCTTAAACTCTATCTCTCTCTCTGGAGGTAAAGTTACTAATTCATCAGGAAATACATCCAGATATTCACTCACTACCGATACATCTTCTACCTTCAACTTATCAGTGGGGGTGTTTATATGAAAAGCTAGGAACCCTTGTGCCCCTTTATTCAGTGGTTTCCTAGCCCGAATACCCGAAATCATTGCAGATAAGGCTAAACTACCCCTTACATCTAGCCTTAAAGTCACCTCCCCCGGTATACAAAATTTCACTACTTTCCTCTTACAGTCAAGTTGTGCGTCGTATTTAGCTAACCAGTCCATACCCAATATAACGTCGTATCCCTTAATAGCTAAACTTATAAGATTCCCCAAAAGCTTCCTCTCTCCTACCCAAATTTCACAATTAACATACATTATACCAGTAATCAAACGTTGATCCCCCATAGGAGTACTAACTTCAAGTCATAAGGCAAGCTAACAGGTTTTATATCAATTCCGCACATAAAATCTGGGTTAACAATGGAATGGGTAGCACCAGGGTCTATCAAAATCCTTGCTAGATGATGGAAGATAGGGATCGTACCTTCTACGACCCCAGATGAATCAGGGACTTGATGTTGCTCAAGGGAGTATACCTGAGCTGGCACCTTCGGCTTTGTCCCTTCCATCTTGGACTGCCCCGAGTTGGCCTTCGATGATTGGGTGGTTACTCTCGCCTCTCGAGGTAACACTGAGCAGTTGGCTATTTGATGCTCCGCACTCCCACAGCATAAGCATTTCCTTTCCTTCCTCCAACAATTGTACTCGGTGTGGTTTGGTTTCCCACAAAATCCACAAGGCCCACGAGAAACCGATGCCGAACTTCCCTGTGAGGCACTTCTCTGTGGTCCCCGTCCATTTTGACCACCTCTTGGCTGAGTCCCTCGTGCCATTCCCGGTAGCCTTCCTCCTCCGGCTCCCTTTCCAAACTTGGGAGGGGTACTTTTATCCCCTTGAGTCGAACTACTCGCAGAAAATCCCCATTTTTTCACCTGGAAGTTCCTAACTTGAAGCCTTGCATTTTCAACTCGCAAAACTTTCTCCACGGCTTCACTAAAGGTATTGATTTGGGCTACTGCCAGATCCTTTTGAATTTCCACATTTAGCTCCTGAATAAAAAGCCGAACTCTCCTTTGCTCTGTCAGAATGAGTTCAGGGGCAAACTTGGATAATCGAGTAAACTGGCTCTTGTACTCAGCCACCATTTGAGTCCCCTGACGGAGCCTAATGAACTCGTCCTCCTTCTTTTCTTGGACTAGAGGTGGAAAGTATTTCGCGTTGAAGTCCCTCATGAAGTTCACCGATGTTCTTGGTGTTTGCTCCTGGTTCCACTTCATCCGTATCACGTTCCACCAAGAACGGGCGGTCCCTTCCAACTGGAAGATAGCGAAAGTAACCTGTCTTTCCTCTGAATAGTGTAGGGCGGCGAAAATGTCTATCATTTTCTCCAACCACCTTTCGGCCACGTCCGGATCTGGCCCTCCTAGAAATTTTGGCGAAGAGAATTTTTGAAATCTCTCGAGGGCCCGATCTTCACCCTCTACTGGATTGCCAGGGTTCCCAGGTTGCTGGACAGGATGTTGGCCCTGGTGTTGCACTACGTGGGCTAACAAATCAGTCATTTGCTGTATAGCAGCAGCTATTTGGACATTAGAATCAATCCTAGGTTCAGGGTTTGGTTCAGACGTAGTTTCCCTAGTACCCCCTTTAGTTGTGGGTTGCCTAGTACCGCGCCCACGGCCTCATCCACTACAAGTGCCCTCCATAGTGCCCTCCATTGATTTACGGCAATCTAAGGTCGAGGCACAAATATAATATTAACGGGGCATATAAACATGGTCATATAAGCATGAACAAATGACCAAGAGTAAACACCACATAAGGCATGTATACACATAGAGCATTTATACATAGAACACATAACTGTTTCAAACAGTCATACAAGAGCGGTCAAGCAAGTATATACCATGAAGCTAAAAGAGGGTCTTCCAAAATACAATGTACAACCTAGGTCTCGAAAGTGCAAAACAACTAACCATAAGCTTTCCTAGGTATCCCTCACACGGGATCAAAACATGGCCCAACGAACTCTAACCTAGTTCTCATCTGAGCCAACCGACTCCTTCCCAGAGCTAGAGCTAGGGACGCCTCCCTCGCCTGGAGCTCCGTCACCCAGAACTCCCCCTGGCACATTAGTGCCAATCACTCCCTGGATTAGCGCCTCACACTCGTTGATAATACCACCGGACCGGTCTCTAACCTCCCGGACCACCCTGGTGAGACGGCCGTTGGCTACGTGTAACTGCTCTCTAAGAGCATTCGTCCGCTCCTGCTCCATGGCTACGTCCCTCTGGAGCTCCCGAATCCGATCCGCCTGCATCCTCATGATGCCCCTCACATGCTGCAGCTCAGTGTGATCTCTGGCGGCGGCACGCCTGAGCCTCCTCCTCTCATCTAACACGGCCACGACCACATAGTCAGCGTAGGAGTAATACTGGCAATGACTACAGTGCCTAGTCCGACTGGCCGCGCTCCAGCGCCGAAACGGTCCTCCTGGCCTCTCCTCGTAATCGACGACGCGAAAACGCCTCCGAGGCGGCCCGCCTCCGCTCCCATTAGCTCCGTTCCTGACCTATAAGGATATCCACAGTTTACAACTTAGACAGAGTAATCATACTTAAACACACCCTAACACAATCCCCAAAAGTTCTAAGAATCAGGTTTCGGGTTCGCCCAGGTTATTTCTAACCTAGGCTCTGATACCAACTGTGACACCCCCACCTTCCCTTAAGACGTATCAAAGGGGTTAGCGAACTGCCTACCCAACTCTCGCCAGGACTACTAAGACAGCAATACACAAACAAAATAATCTAAAATATATATATTAGCGCTTCTAAATGATTCACCAATCACAAAGTGGGAAAAAGAAAATCGAAACTAAAAGTGAATAGTGACTGCCACGTCACAATCCGGCCGGAACCCAATCCAATACAGATAACGTTATATAACTCTAGAGAATGAACATTTCCAAACCAAATACATTGCACGAACATGATTAAATAGTTTTATATACATACGTTTGTAATTTACAACCCAAAAGGGAACTATTTGGATCAAGGTACATTTAGGCTTTCCAACTCTCGAGGAGCTATACAAAAGTATTTATACTAGCTCAATTCATTCTTCAAATGATCATTGGTCCAAAAGAGGGTTCCCTGTAACGAAAACAAAGGTAAGGGGGTGAGCTTTCGCCCAATGAGGTACCATCACTCAAGCATTCAAGGATCACCAAAATACAATGCTACTTATGTCAAATACATTCATCAAATAAGCAGGAACAACCATTATACATCATTTAGAGAGTAAAAGGATACAAACGGCCCTCAAGAGCCCTCTTCCGTACTTGATCTCACCTCGTTGACTCTCCATCAACACTTAAGAGTAACCATTACCGTAGACCCCGCTTTACTCCGATTTTCGTCCACCACACATACCCCTTACCGGATTCGAACACCAATCAGGACAGAAATGGTAATATTCGAGTATACCGAAATCAAGAGTCTCATACCCAAAGATCCCCAAAAATAGTCCCCATGGCTTGTCAATTTCCCTCGACCAAGCCCTTGCTGGCTCGAGTCAATTGACTACCAATGAGGTTGAGATCAGAGTTAACAGTAAAGATCGTTGGATACACGTCCAAACGACACCAAATCAAGTACAATCAAGAGAATTCCAAGTGATACAGTAAACGGTCAAATAAGCCATAAAGTACGAGAGTGGTAAAGTACACCCTCGTCTCATCTAGCATAAACAGTAATCACAAGTAATCCAATCACAGATTTCAAGACAATAAAGCCACGGAATAACAATCATGTGAGTAGTACACTCACCAAGTCAAACAAAGCAATTTCACAAGTTTTCGCCCGACGTAAGCCTCGGATCACCGGCATGCCCTATAACAATCAAGAAAGCACAATTGAGACTCGGACACGAGTCGAATACCTCTTAAATGAACTATTAAGGCAAAACCAAATATAGCTTGGAAATGGAAAATACATAACATTTAGGGCTAAAAGTAGAAACAAACCCCAAAACCTTTTATTTCTATCCAACCTCAACCTAAACTCACAAGAATCTAATATCTTAAACATTTGGACGGCATTTCCCCTAAAATTTCAGATTTTCCATCCTACAAACAACCATTTAAATTCATCCAAAACAACCACAAGCACACTAACAATTCATAGGCCATTCAACACACTTCATTAGGGCCACAATACCTCTCAATCATAGCCAATTAGAAGCTCAACAACCAACCATAATAAAGCCCTAATTAGAAGCCCTAAATCTGAAATTTTCCGCACAAGCTGAAATTTCCGCACAAAGGCTCCATTTAACACAATTTAGAGCTATCAATCCAAGGCCAACCATAACCATCATATAAAAACAGAAAAATTCCCAAAAAAATCAGAAATTTAGCTAACTCCACTTTAATCCATGAAATCTTCCATAAAACAACCTATTTAGCCACCATAAATCACTAATTTACCATTATTAGGAACGAAGAGTGAGTTTTCAAGCAAAATACCTTAACTCCTCAAGAAAGGTAGTAGCTTAGGGGTTTCTCCTCCAAAACAACTCCACCAAGACCTTTAATCTTCCTTAGCAAGTCACTTTTGTGGGCAAATTCAAGATTTAATCGGTTGGATTGCAAGATATAAGCAAGAATTGGAAGCCAAAAGTTGAAGCTCACTCTCTTTTCTCTTCTTAAGAGGTTCGGCCAAGAAGGGTAAAAAATGAAGATGATTTGGGTAAAAATTGATCTTTTAGTAAAGGTAAGAAAGTTAGGCAAGTCCAACTTCGAATAAGAAAATGACACGTGGCACCTTTTATGATTTAAAGTTATCTTCTTGTCTCCCCATGGTTAATCCATCTAGGTAATCTCTAATTATCTCCTAACACCTAGTAATTAACCCTCTTTATGCACAACTTAACCTAATTGGCCGAATTTCTCTCACTTAACGCACTAGCGGGTCCCACGTCCAATGTATACTCCTAATTTCTCATGAACTAACTTATACTAGAAAAATGATTTAAAAACTATATTTACTTATAAAAATATCTATAAAATTAATATAATAAAGCAAATATTGAAAACGTGTGCAAAGAAATAAAATAATGCCTAAAAATAATTTTTTTTTCTGGAATTAAAATACTGGAATTAAGTTTTGGTGGGTCTTGCACTTCATCCGATAATCGTAATGCCTTTGGCACCATTACCGCAAAATGAGGACAAAAACTGTTTTTTCAGGGCTAAAGCTAAATCATTTCCGGATTTTTCTGGTTTCCTCTATTGTTTGTGTATGCTTAGGGAACCCTGTTTTGGTAGTATGTAGAATTCGTTTATGACTTGTAATCGAGTCTTATTGTGTTTATTTGAATAGTTTAGGGCTTGACTTTCATATCCGGTCATTTCCTAACTAAATTTTGTACTTGAATGCCATTAAGCCTAGTGAACGGCTTTTGGGAATGAGATTATTTTTGCACGAGATGTTGGGACTGATTTGAGGAAATAATGAAGCCATGATGGCTGGAAATTAGGTAAACACAAGGGATATGCTGCCGAAATTTTACTTGAAGGCTAGTTGGATTTACTTGTGATTTGAACGAAGGACTTTTGGGTTGTTTGAGCCTAGGTCTTCATTTTACCTTTTCGTTTCCAAAAATTCATGTTTTGCACCCTTGCTTTAATCATTATTTGGCGAGGCATACGACTGGTAGTCGAGCCTCACATGTGCATTCTGTATACTCGATTTTGAAAGTGGAACCTTCAATTGTTTTCTTTGGATTATCTTAGGGTTTCTTGGTGATTAAAGCTTTCTTTTGGGGAGGTATCTGTACTGACCCCAGTGAGTGTTCCACTACCTGCTACCCGTTATGTGAAATATCTGAATATCTGAATACTTGATTTATGACTGTTGGAGCCAAATACTGTTTTGATAAAAGGGAGGCGAGGGTGTACTTTATCACACTCGTTCTCTAGTCTGTTCATATGCCAATTTTGAACGCGTATCTGAATCTGCTATCTGTATCTGTTAACTGTATCTGGATCTGTATCTGTTCTGACGTCGTTTGGAAACTTGTGTCCAACGACCTTTCTGTGACCTCTGAGCTCAACACCTGTGGCCAGTTACTCGAGTCGGTCCGGCAAGGGCCTGGTCGATTAGATAACGAACCACGGTAGTCTGTTTTGGGATCTTTGGGTATTGAGACCCTTGATTCCGGGTATACTCGAGTATTACCATTTCTGATCTGATTGGATTTCGGGCCCGGTGGGGTATGTGAGGTGGAAGGAATCGAAGAAAGTGGAGTCTACGGTATTGGTTACTCCTTTAGCATTGACGGAGTGTCAACTATTATTTCGATCAAGCTTCGATGATGCTAATAGGAATTTGGCTCCTGAGAGCCACCTGTATCCTTCTGATTTGAATCATTGGTTCAATTACTTTACATCTGGCATGTGTACCTGATTTGTTAAATTTGAAATGCCATGATTTTACTGCTATATGTCTGGTACCTCATTGAGCGCAAGTTCACCCCTTTCTGTTCCTTTTTGTTTTCC